CTGCTGTGAATACTGACAGAAGACCTGATGAGATGTGGGAGAACATCAAGATCAGTTCATGAATCATCTCATGAAAGCAAACGATCATTAAAATGATGGGAAAGAAAGGAAAGATCACAGTGGACATCAGAAGATACTCTGAAACTTGCTCTTAATCATAGACTAGCTAAGGAAATTGAAAAAATTCAAGCTGTGTTAAAGCATTAGCCAAAAATTAGGCTCCAGGAATGGATAAAATACAAATTGAAATGTTTCAACAGACAAATGATACACTGGAAGTACTTACTCGCCTATGCCAGGAAATTTGGCAGACAGCTACTTGACCAACTCTCTGAAAAAAATCTGTAATTATAGCTATTCCAAAGAAAGGTTACTGGACAGAATGCTTCAATTGTGGAACAGTATCATTAAGACCACAAGCAAGTACTATGTTGCTGAAGATCATCTAACAATGACTGCAGCAGTACATTAGCAGGGAACTGGCAGATTCAGGTCAGATTCAGAAGAGGACATGGAACAAGGTTGTCATTGCTGGCATCAGACACATCCAGAAAGATGTTCACTTCTGTTTTACTGGCGATGCTCAGGCATTTCACTGAGTGGATCACAACAAACTATGGGTGACCTTGAGAAGAATGGTAATCCCGAACCCTTTGTACATGGATGAAGAGGCAGTTTTTCAAACAGAACACAGACATGGTGCATGGTTTAAAATGAGGAAAGATGTGTGCCAGGGTTGTATCCTCACCATAATTATTCAATCTGTATGCTGAGAAAATAATACAATAAACTGGATTATATGAAGAAGAACCGAATTCCCATTCTTCTCCAGGCTGCTCATCATTTATTATGATCAATAAAACAAAAGCAAACATCTTTCTGGTATTCTCGGCTTTCAGTTCAGATTAATCAGGATTTATTATTGTTAGGTTCCATCGAGTCAGTTCAGACCCATAGTGACATTGTGCACAACAGAACAAAACACTGCCCGAGCCTCACAATTGTTTCCATGTGTGAGCCCATAGTCGCAGCCATGGTGTCGATCTGTCTCCTTGAGGGTCTTCCTCTTTTTAGTTGCCCCCTCTACTTAGCCAAGCATGATGTCCTTCTCCAGGGACTAGTATTTCCTGACAACATATCTAAAGTATGTAAGACGAGGCCATCCTTGCTTCCGAGGAACACCCTGACCATATTTCTTCCACGACATAATGATTTGTCCTTTTAGCGCTCCATGGTATTTTCAATATTCTTCTCCAGCACATTTCAAATGCATTGAGTCTTCTGCAGTTTTCCTATTCAATGTCCAACTTTCACAAGCACACGAGGCCATGGAAAATTCTAGGGTTGGGTCAGGCACACCTTAGTCCTCAAAGTGACGTCCTTACTTTTCAATACCCTAAAGAAGTCTTCTGCAGCAGTTTACCTACCACAACACATCTTTTGAGCTCTTGACTGCTACATCCATGTACATTGACTGTGGATCCAAGAAAGATAAGAATTTTAACAACTTAAATCTCTTCTCCTTTTATCATGATGTTACCTATTGGTCAAGTTTTGAGGATTTGGATCTTAACATTGAGTCATAATCCATCCCAAAGGCTGCAATCCTTACTCTCACTTTACAACATGCAATCCTTTGGTTTCAACTAATTTATCATAACCTTTATGGTACCACCAACCTAAGTCCCAAGGAAAGACTTGGGACATTGCTACAGAACATCTCTTTTCCCTGAAAGGCAAATGAGGATATTATTTTAGTAATAGAGTGTCATGTAAGTAATCACTTAATGAGACTCCAAGTGAGATTAAAACCTAGTACTAAAGGTAGTTAGGTTACTGGAGAGGAGTCCATAATTTGTGACTAAAACTATGATATGTAAATGTCACGACCTTGCTTGCTGACAGTAAGAAAGATTTGAAGCATTTGCCAAGGAAGTTCTTTGTTCAATGTGTAGCTTTGGAATTTATTTTTACTGTCCGATCAAGGTACAGCGTGTGCAGTAGTCAGCATTTCTCGTGGCACATAGATAAATAATACAGGAAAGGTAGAATAGGACATATACAGAATTAGACAAAGGGCCACATAACTCCACACTACAACAGCCTACAGGCACCAAACTTATTTGAGTGGCTACCATCAGAAATAGGCACATGAACTAGGGATAGTAATGATTTTCATCTGCATTCCACTTAGAGTATTAGCTTTCAATGCTACTTCGCATGTAGTAGAGGAAAAGGAACTTGGACCAAGGTGATGAACAGAGGTTCTAATCAACATTAAGAAGTCTCCTGGTAGATCCCTTTGCAGAGGGTCTCAGAGGGGTCTTGGGGAGGAGATGAGCCAGACAGAGTGTGATGTAGCAACAATGAAAAATACAACTTTCCTCTAGTTCCTAAATGCTTCCTCCGCCCCCTACTATCATGATCCGAATTCTACCTTGCAAGTCTGGCTAGACCAGAGGGTGTACACTGGTACAGATAGCAACTGGAAACAGGGAATCCAGGGTGTATGATCCCTTCAGGACCAGTGGTGTGAGTGGCAATACTGGGAGGGTGGGGTTGAAAGGGGGAACTGATTACTAGGATCTACATATAGCCTCCTCCCTGGGGGATGGACAGCAGAAGGGTGGGTGAATGGAGACATTGGACAGTGCAAGATATGACAAAATAATCATTTATAAATTATCAAGTGTTCATGAGGGAGGGGGAAGTGAGGAGGGAGGGGGGAAATGAGGACCTGATGCCAGGGGCTTAAGTGGAGAGCAAATGTTTTGAGAATGATGAGGGCAATGAATGTACAAATGTGCTTTACACAATTGATGTATGTATGGATTGTGATAAGAGTTGTATGAGCCCGTAATAAAATGATTAAAAATTAAAATTTAAAAAAAGAAGTCTCCTGGTAAAGATAGATGAGATGATACAGTGGAAAACCAGAACTGTGAGTTTAATGAGCTTGCTATGGCTCCATGTTAAACCCAGATAAAGCTCAGACTAATTATCAGTGTGCTAACTTCAACCTCTAATTAAGAGGAGGAAATGTGCAAAATGCTGCAGCCTTTAGACAAGGCCCTGTCTCCATCCCATGCCTTGAATCTGTCAAAGTGGCATCTACACTATCTACACTCATATTCAATCTACATTCATATTTCTAACCACTGAACTACACAGGTGGCCAGGAAAAATTCTGGGGGACATAAGCAAGGAGAGCTAGTGTGCTTACAGAAAGGGATAGATGTGCGTGCGCGCGTGCGCACACACACACACACACACACACACACACACACACACACACACACGAGGTTGGCCTACAAACTAAACATGTCCTCAGAGCTAGAACTTGTGGAAAAGAGGAGTTATCTTTCTTTGTCCTTTAATTTCAACTTGTTAGAGCATCCAACCTCTTGCTGACTGTTTTTATAATAAAACTTACTTTAAGAATCTTTGAGAGTAAAGGAGGGAGGGGAGAAATGTATAGACATATGTGTTTAGTCTTGTATTCTTAGACAAAACATTTTGGGGCACCAATCGGTTCCTTGGCCCTCTTTCCTGTTTCTCATTAATATGACTGAGAATTTCTCCAAGGACAACTTTTGGTGTGACTGTTGCGGAAATTTCTCAAACAAACGCAGCTGACCCTGAGGAAACCTGGACTGCACACCATGGAAAAAGCCCTTGCCTGTGAATGACTCACAGCCTCAAGTTAGGCATCTCCACCTGAAAGGGCTTGCGTCTCTTAATGTAGCGTAATTAGGAGAGATTTCCGCTCATGAGACAGGCTGATGGTTGGCTATGACCCAAATAATCAGGAAGCCGCTACAAAAGGAGAGATCTCTGTTACTTAACCCATGAAGAATTATGTTTATGAAATCACTGGAGAGAAATGAAACAAAACAAAGGTGGAGATTTGGGCAGAGCATGCTCAGAATCCATGACTATATCTTGGTATTATATTTCCCAGAACCCCTTGACACCCTGATGGAAATGAGTGAGAATCTAGTGTGTGTGCAAGAAATCCTAAAAATTCTTGGTAAATTTATAGAAGCTGCATAGTTATGTGGTTAGGATTTCTTCCTCCTAGGAGTCTTGAAATAAATTATCTTTCAAGGCCTTGTGTCTTCCAAAAGCAAATCTTGCTCTTAGTAAAACAAGAACCTGAATTATAATAGGAAACCTGTGGCAATACTCTTTGCTTATACACACACAAAAATTTTCCAATACATGTTTTTGAAACATGAACCCTTTTGATTTTCCTATATGAGTACAAGAGAAGTTTCTTAATCTATTATGAATAGATAAACCTTCAATAACAATGGTCTTTAGAGGGGAAGGGGCAAAATGACCTTTAGATTCAGAGGGGAGGATATCGGCTGGAACTATATTTTTTTTTTTTTTGAATTAAAAAAAAAAAAAAAAAAATGGCTGGAACTATATTATGGAAGCATATGCCCAAAATGGAAAGCAAGAAGCAAGCTCGAACTGACAGCTGCCAGGTGGAAGGTAGAGCTGAGAATCTCAATGTCAATTGGGCGTCAAAGAAAATTTAAAGCAATTACTGATCAATAGTCTGAGGAGCAAACAAAGAACAAGCTGGAAACCAGTTTTTTAAAATCCATTAGGTTAAAACAGTCACTTTTGTATGATATGCAAACATGTGCTGCACTGCATAGTTCATGGAGGACAAGATCTATTCGGAAAAGTTACATTTTTAGAGTCGTCCTCTGGAGTGGGCAGGGATACAGACTATTTCAGAATGTGGTAGACTTTGTATAAAGTAAAGGATTCCTCATCATAAAAGCTCCTTGAAGTAGCACTTTTGTAATGTATGTTGATGGGTTCATAATTATCATCAAAACTGTCAGATAGGGGTTACTCTACCTTAAAGATGATTTTTTAATGAATACATTGTAATCTCTTGCAGGGATAGGTAAACCATTGATCACTGATTGAAACTTTACGAAAGAAGGTTTTAACATCCAATAACAAATACGAGTACTTACTTGTGATGGGTGACTTGTGGAACATTTGAAAAAATTCTCTAAGACAGAGTTTGGTATCATATTCTTTTGAACTATTTCTGGAATGCCAAATGATCTCCCTAGTGGTGTGGCAATAAACCTACAAAAATATAAAAGAAAAGTACATCTAAAACCTCAGAATGTCCAAACAATGACAACAGAAAATTAAGCCTGTAATTTTAGATTCCAACTGAAATATCAATCATTAATTCATGTTGTCTTTCAGGCTGCATACAAGCAACAGCTACCTCAGAGAAGTTCAGGGAGTAGAAGTGTCCATACCTTAAACACAACCAACAGCTTGAAAATGCACACATACCATTCTAAAAATATTTTATATAAATCAAAATATATTTATACATAAGATCTAGAAATCAAGATAGCATGAGGCTTTTCACTTTTCATACTCCTTACAATGACAATAAATAATAGTAAAAGTTTCATTTGGTGATATTATTGTAAAGAAATTAGTATGTTCTTTATTTCCAAGAAACATATCATTTAAAATGTTATGTTTCTTAAATAAATACATAAAAATGAAATGATGGGATGTATGCCAGGTGGCTAATGGTTGCAGCAGTACACTGACAGGGAACTGTCAGAAATTCAGGCCATATTAAAAAGAGTTTGTGGGTGGAACAAGGGATATCATTGCTGATGTCAGATAGATCTTTGCTCAGAGCAGAGAATGCCAAAAAGATGTTTACTTGTGTTTCATTGACTATGCAATGGCATTTGACTGTGTGGCCCATAAAAAACTATGGATAAAAGTGAGAAGAGTGGGAATTCCAGAACACTTCATTGTGCTCATGAGGGACTTATACAGGGATTAACAGGCAGTTGTGCAAACAGAACAATAGAATACGGCATGGTTAAAATAATGAAAAGTGTGTATGAAGATTGCATGTTCTCACCATACTGGTTCAATCTGTACGCTGCATACACTATCGGAGAAGCTGGGTTACATGAAGAAGAACATGGCATCAAGACTGGAGGAAGGCTTATTAACCTGAGATATACAGATGATACTACCCAGCTTGCTGAAAGTGATGAAGACTTGAAACACTTTGTGATGAAGGTTAAGGATGTAGCTTTCAGTATGATTACAACTCAGTGTAAGTAAGACCAAAATCCTCATAACAGGACCATCACCAAATAACGTCACAATAAATGGGGAAAATGTTGACGTTGGCAAGGATTTTGTCTTGCTTGGACACACAATCAATGCTATGGAAGCAGCAGTCACAGATCAAAATACACATTGCATTAGGTAAACTTTCTGCACAAAACCTCTTTAGGGTAGTGAAGAGCAAGGATCTTACTTTGAGGAATAAGAGGCACCTGATCCAAGCCATGGTATTCTCCATTGCATCATATGCATGTGAAAACTGGATATTGAATAAGGGATGCTATAGAAGAATCAAGGCCTTTGAATTGTGGTACTGGAGAATATTCAAAGAACCATGGGCAGCTAAAAGGACAAATAGATCTTGTAGTGGAAGAAGTAAGGCCAGAGTGCTCATTAGAGGAAACGTTGGCAGGACTTCATTTTACATACTTTGGCTATATTGCCAGGAGGAACCAGTCCCTGGAGAAGGGAATCATGTTTGGTAAAGTTGTAGGGCAGAAAAAAAGAGAAATACCTTCTATGATTTCTTATTTGAGTCATTGAGTTGGATTGACACATGGGCTTCTTCAGCGGGCTCAGGCATAGGAACAATTGTGGCAATGGCACAGGACCTGCAGTGTTTTGTTCTGTTGTGTATAAGGTCGCTATGGGTCAGAGTCAACTCAATGGCATCTAACGGCAAACAGCAACATGCCTGGTAGCCACCATTTGTCTGGTGGTTTGTCTACTCTGGTGGCTTGCAAGTTGCTGTGATGCTGGAAGATACCTTACTTGAATTCCAAGGCCAACTGTGTCACCAAAAGTGAATAGGTTTCAGCAGAGCCTGCAGACTACAAGAAAGAATCGGCCGTCTACATCAGAGAACGTAGCCACTGGAAACCTGATAGAATCAAAGCATTAACAGATACTGAAAGCCTAATGAACGGAAGCACAACATGGTCAGAGATCGTGCCAGAGGAGGGCCCTGTGGATGAAAGATACTTGAAATGCGACTGAGGAGAGCCTTCCTTCTTACGTAGAGCTGACTACAGTGATGAGAATGGAGTGAAACCTGTGGGAGTAAAGCCTTCTGGATCTTCATTTGCTGAGTGGGCACAACTCAAAATGACAAGAAACAGCTGCAAACATCAATTAATAATAAGAACTTGGAATGTATCGAGTATGTATCTAGGAACCTTGGAATTTATCAAAAGTTAAGTGGAATGCATAAAAGTCGATATCTTAGGTATTAGTGAACTGAAATGGACTGATATTGGCCATTTTGAATCAGAAAATCATATGGTTTACTGTGCCAGGAATGATACAACCAAGAGGAATGGTTTTGTATTCATCTTCGAAAAGACTCTTTCAAGATATATCTTGAAGTGCAATAGTGTCTGTCATAAGATTATATATATCTGCATTCAAGAAAATCCAGTCATATAACTATTATTCAAATAATGCACCAACCACCAAAGCTAGTATTGAAGAAATTGAAGAATTCTACTGAGGTCTTCAGTATGAAATTGACCAAACATGTAATTAAGATGCATTGATAATTTTTGGTCATTGGAATGCATAAGTTGGAAACAAAGAGGAAGGGACAGCAGTTGGAGAACATGGACCTGGTGATAGAAACAAAACTGGATATCATGTCATAGTATTTTATAAGACAAATGACTTGTTTTTCCAACAACACAAATGGGCATTATACACATAAACTGGTCCAGATGGAATACACAGAAATCAAATGGACTACACTGGTGGGAAGAGATGCTGGAAAAGCCCTATCTGAGCAGCGAATGCCAGATCAGATGTTGAATGTGGAACAGACCCTCAATTGCACAAGTCTCTGAGAGCCAAAATACAAACTTGAGTTGATCCCATGCCCCTCAGGTTAGTAGACACTCAAATATGATTGATGAAGAGCTGCCTGTTCAGAGTAAAGTTGACCATAATGACAAGGATGGAGTGAAGCTTGTTGGGAGTAATGCTACATTAAGCTAAAAGGGCATGATTCAAAATGAGAAAAAACAATTGCAGAAATCTATTAATAATTGGAACTTAGAATAAATGTAGGAAAATTGGAAGTTGTTAAAAATGAAAAGGAAGGCATGAGATCACTATTCTAGACATTAGTGAACTGAAATGTACTGGTACTGGCCATTTTGCATCCAAAAGTCATACAGTTTGACACAAGAGAGGTGGTGTTGCCTTTGTTCTATTAAACTGTCATTCCATGATGCTCACCTTCCTGACATGATCACTGAAGACAAATGGGTGCATAAGCAAATGTGGTGAAGAAAGCTGATGGTGCCTGGCTATCAAAAGATATAGCATCTGGGGTCTCAAAGCTCACATGGAAGAAGCAAACCAGCCTGTGTGATCATGAGGTGTCGAAGGGATCAGGTATCAGGCATCAAAGAACAAAAAATCATATAATTGTGAACGAGGGACAGTGCAGATTGGAGACCCAAAGGCCATCTGTAGGCAACTGGACATCCCCTAACAGAAGGGTCATGGGGAGGAAATGTGCTAGTCAGGGTGCAGTGTAGCAACGATGAAACATGCAACTTTCCTCTAGTTCTTTAATGCTTCCTCCCCTCACCCCTCCTACTATCATGATCCCAATTCTACCTTACAAATCTGGCTAGACCAGAGGATGAACACTGGTACAGATGGAAACTGGAAACAAGGAATCCAGGACAGATGATCCCTTCAGGACCAGTGGTGAGAGTGTCAATACCAGGAGGGTGGGGTAGGGAGGGGAAACTGATTACAAGGATCTACATATAACCTCCTCCCTGGGGGACAGACAAGAGGGAAGTGGGTGAAGGAAGACATCAGACAGTGTAAGATATGACAAAATAATAATAATTTATAAATTATCAAGGGTTCATGAGGGAGAGGGGTGGGGAGTGAGGAGAAAAATGAGGAGCTGATACTAAGGGCTCAAGTAGAAAGCAAATGTTTTGAGGATGATGAGGGTAACAAATGTACAAATGTGCTTGACACAATGGATGGATGTATGGATTGTGATGAGAGTTGTACAAGCCCCCAATAAAATAATTTTTAAAAGTATATAGATATGTCAAAGACAAAAATGTTTCTTTTATACCAATACACTGTCAAGCAAAAACACATTTTTCTTATAATACATTTGCATTCTGTTATGACAAATCGAGCATATATTATACAAAACACTATTTTGATCAAGCCACTGATCCAAAATAGCCCCCAACCCATGCTGTTACTAAAGCATAAAGACTAGTAAGTTTTGAGAATTAATCTCTTTGTGAAAATTGTGGACATTTTTGGAGTGGGGATCCAAAGCCCATTAGTAGGCCACTGGAGATCCCTTTGCAGAGGGGTCTCGGGGAGGAGATGAGCCAGTCAGGGTGCGATGTAACAACGATGAGAAATACAACTTTCCTCTAGTTCCTAAATGTTTCCTTCCCGCTCCCACTATCATGACTCGAATTCGGCCTTGCAAGTCTGGCTAGACCAGAGGATGTACACTGGTACAGATAGGAACTGAAAATACAGGGAATCTAGGGCGGATGAGCCCTGTAGGACCAGTGGTGTGAGTGGCGAAACAGGGAGGGTAAAGGGAGAGTGGGTAAGAAAGAGGGAACCGATTACAAGGAACTATATGTGACCTCCTCCCTGGGGGACAGACAACTGAAAAGTGGATGAAGGGAGACGTCGGACAGGGCAAGATATGACAAAATACCAATTTATAAACTATCAAGGGCTCATGAGGGAGGGGGGAGCGGGGAGGGAGGGGAAAAATGAGGACCTAATGTCGGGGGTTCAAGTGGAGAGAAAATGTTTTGAGAATGATGTACAAATGCGCTTTACACAATTGATGTGTGTATGGATTGCGATAACAGTTGTATGAGCCCCTAATAAAATGTTTCACACACAAAAAGAATTATTGTTAAAAATAAGTGTATTAAAAGACAATGTGAACAAATAAAAGGAGTGAATAA